GGGGGGGGCAAAGGGGCCGTTTGCCATAACCGAGCGCCTGTGTGTGAGTGTGTGTGTGTGTGAGAGCCCAACCCGTATGGGATCCAGGCAGGGCGGACAGCAGGCTGCGGGGGAGGGAAGGGAGGAAGGAGGGAGAGGGAGGAGGAGACATCCAGACGTTGCCCGCCGCTGGTCCGGGCACACGGCAGCAGCACGGCCAGCGAGTTGCGGGGCGCAGAGAGGACGCCTTCCACGCAGCGCGGTACACACGGCGAGGCGGGCGGAGGGGGCTGGCTGTTTTCAGCTGATTGAACAGAATCTCGAGCAAAATTCATCTACTGTAGCCTCCACTCATTCCCCCGCAGCACCACGATGATGAAGGCCATGACGTCATAGGAGCAGCCCTTCCCCCTGTTAATGAGCAGGCGGTACCTCCAGCCTCTCGGCGGTTGAACCAACCCCTACCGCGTTTCATGATGCCGCTGCACTACCCGGAATCGCTTACACATTTAATGAGGACCACAAGTCTGGACCGGAGGTGGGGAGGCCGCGGGCGCCACCTCAATCAAGGAGCAATCAGTGAGAAAGGCGAAGCAGGGCGGACAGCGGGGCGATGAGCAGCCAGCTTGTTGACACCGGTGTGGGGGGATATCGTGCTTGGGGGAAGGGGGGCATCTTCATACGGTTCCAAACGCTCGGGTACGGGGTACGTACCGTGGGGTGCTGCAGCTGCAACAATACTGCTTAGCAAACTATTACCAATCGTTATTCTCACACGCGACCTTCACGTGGCCGTCCAGGACGTTCCCGCCAAAACCACCCCCCAAGGTTGGGCGCGGCTCGGGCTCGGACGCGCCCCGCGCCCTTGCGGGGCTTCGGGGTACAGCCGCAACCGGCGAGGCGCGGGACGACGACGGCGACGGACACGCGGCCCTCGGAGAGCTCGTGGAATGTGTTGTTGCACTCACCTCAACGGCTGCTGCTGCCACGCCCAGGACGGCGACGACGACGAGGGCGGCGCACAGGGCGGCGCGGCCCCGGAGGGCGCTGCCGAGCCGCATGCTGTCCGGGTACTGCTTGCTGCCGCTCAGGGGGTCTTGTTCATGTCAGGCCGGCCGGCGCGACGCGGTCCACTCAGCTGGCGGGGGCAAGACAAACTGGTTACCGCACTGCTGCTGCACTCCGGCCAAACGCACTCGCGGCGCGGGGCGGCCGGTGTCGGTGCAGGGCGGCGGCGGCAGCGGCGGCCCGGGTCCGGTTCCCCCTCCCCCCAGGATCGACCGTCATTACAACCCAATTTGTGCGCGAGCGCAGAAGCCGTCCCATGACAGCTCAAAGTCGCGCACAACCCCAACATATCACGTGGGTCTTCTCTCGGACCGCGCCGCGAGAGAGATCCGCGCGCTGCCGGGGGGGCTCTTTTCTTCCGCAGACGAGGAGGACGACTCAAAGTGGCGCACTCACCGCAAACGATCCCCGATTGTGCCGAGGTTCGACAGCTTAGCTCGACTTGGCATACGCCCCCCTCCCCAACTTCCCCTTTCTAGGCCCTCCAGCCGAGCCCCAGCAGCGCGATCGCGATCCCTCTACAAGTCCTCCGATATCGAGTCCCACATAGCAGCTTTGGCCACCCGCGGCCGGGTGACAGGGGCACTCCTGATGATGTGGCGGGGCGTGGTGGGGCGTGGTGGGGCGTGGCGGGGCTTGGCAGGGCGTGGCGGGGCGTGGCGGAGCGTGGCGTGGCAGGGCCCTTCAACCGCCTAGTTGCAGGGCGGCGGGGTCCGTCTGTTTGCCACGCATTGATTACATTCCCCACGTGTTCACACACATGAGCACCGACAGACGACCGCCAGACACCAGCCTAGACTCAGCCACACGCCCACACTAAACTGGTGCACTCTACCGACCGACTATGGCAACACCTAAGCCAGCGCCCCCCCCCCCCCCCCGCGAACGAGAAGAATTTTAACACCCATTGCAAATAAGAAAACCTACAGTGTGAATTTACGTTAAAGGCGCCCGAAGCCTACCGCCGCCGCCGGCCGCCGTTGAGGGGTGAGCCCCCCTGGCCCACGGGGAGGCGTGGCCCGCGTGCTCCGCGGCGTGCAGGGCCGTGGAGTCTGTCAGGAAGGTGCGGCAGACGCATACCACCAGGCCAGAGCCCCTCCCGGTGCAGGGGCGCAGGGCGGCGCAGGGCCCAGGATGTGTGAGCGCGAGCGGCGCGCGAGCGATGTTGTTGTTTTTGTTGTTGTAGTTCCCCCGCCGCCCCTAGAATACACCCTGAAGTGCCCCCTAGTCTCTCTCTTACTCTGCAAAAATAAAAGGGCTTCATAAAGGCTCTCTGAAGCGCGTTCAATCACGGCTGCGCCGCGGGGCCGTTATTTGAGCCCACACGACGACGCGACACGCACGGCACGCACATTGCAGCACATTGCGCTTTACAGCCGCGATAACTCCTCCAGATGACTGGCCTGCTGGTCGCGGCCCGGCCGGGGGGCCGGACTGGGCCCCGCGGCGTCGAGTGTCAAGTACCCGGCGCGCCCGCGGCCCCGCGGCCGGCCACACCGAGTCACTGGCCTAGGAGAATGGCTCGGCGGCGGCCCGGCGGGCCCGGCCTGCAGGCGGCACGGCCCAAATTAGCAAACGCTGCAGCAGGAAACGCGCTGAGTGTTCCGAGCGCCCCGCCCCGCGCCCCGCCCCGCCCGGCTGTCACCACCACCGTGTCGTCCTCCTCAACCCCCTCGGCGACCACGCGGCCGCGACTCGCCCCTCAGGTCCCCCGGGTCCCGGGGGATGACGGTGTCCTCCCCGCGGTGCTCGCCGTCGACGTCCTGCCCGGGCCGCCCTGCACTGCACCACGTGCTCGCGGGTCCACACACACTCCACTGTTAAAAAATCTGTGGAAAAACCACAGACAACCACAGAAAAATTCCCAACAGAGGTGTACAGATTGCTTCTGTTACAGAAATTTTCAGTTATTTTGTGAACACAGAAGTCTGTGCTTCAAAATCACAGAAAAAACAGAACAGAATCGTACAGATTGCTCCCGTCATATAAATAGTCTGTCATTTAAGGGGTGCGGACCCATCTGTAACAGATATTTTATCTCAGTGGTAAGGCGTCCGAAGACGCCGCTAGATGGCATTCTACATTAGCTCTCGCTGATCACTTCCGTCCTGGTCACCATGTAGTGTCCCACCCTGATACGTTGCAATTGG